AATATCATGCATGGGTCACGCTCTCATTGCTTTCCGATAATATTTCCATAAAACTTCCGTTGCTTCTGTGTTCTGATAATTTACACGAAACCCCATCCTCGTAAGTCAACGAAGCCTCTGGTTTCTGTTTCTGTTTCTGTTTCTTTTTCGCGTTCGCGTTCGGCGTTCTGTTACGTCCCCGATCTATTTTGATCACTTTTTCCATTCGAGGGCATTCATTATACAGAGCTCTGCCGGTGACTTTGAATTAATGGTCCAAAGGCTACGTGTTTCAAGCGATGACGTCGTTAGAGGCTGCTTCGGATGCTAAACAAATGGCCTGCAGGAGATTTATACTTTTCAGTGGTTACGAAAAGACATCTGATCGAAAAGGGGAACAACTCTCGCCATGCAGAATCTTATCTTATTGCCAACGAACCATCAACTATCGACAGTTTCAACAATCGACCAGACAGTGTTGCTATTTATTACATCCGCGAATCTGAACGTTGTATCATTATCTGCGATATTATGTTTAATTTCCGATCAAATGATCGTCGATTAGATTATGATGTCTCTCATTTACGTCACAAAGGTATCCTACTAACATCTATACTTGTTGATAGAGGCTTACTCGACCAATCATTTTCTCACAAATCTTCCAACAACCACCGTTTCCTAAATGCAAGCTCACTCTAGAAACTACATTGTAATTCTTTTCTGAAAAAAGTTGAATTTCACAAAGAAGATTTTTCCCAACACAATTCTTTTTTCCTCCATTTTACAGTTTTATTTAACGGTGAATAATTAATTAGTTAAATATTACGCTGAGGGTGCTTTTCTTTTCCGAAGTATTTTATGAAAGAATAATTTTCTAATTTTTTCATTCAAATATTGAATTTAGGTTTATTAAACCTTTTCTATAATTTCATTAACACTATTTTGCACTTATTTATCACTTTTTACCCTGATTATTCATCCTGATATTTTTCGATTGTGAAAAATTGAAATTTTTTCCATTCTCCAAGAAATAACATAATGAGTAGAATATAAAGCTAGAAAAGAAGAAGAAAAAACTAAAAAACAATATGAGAACACATTTAAGACTTGTCCAATTGAAATAAATAATGAAAATCCATCAAAATACTTAAATAATTTAATCTTATTCTAAAAAATACGTGAAAAAGTTTTCTATGTCGAAGGGTTCGATGACAATTTGAGAAACATGTGTGTAAAAATTGGAGAACTCAACGTACAGGGGAAGAAGATTGCCTTGAACGATTAATTGATTTCGTAAAATACAAATGGCACACAGAATTCTTAGCCAATAAAACGCGACTGAAACAGACAGGAAGGAAAACAAGGGGTTGATTCGATTGTTCGAGATCCGTTCTTGCGAGCCATATTATTCCGTGAGCCTTTGTGCCCGCTTGCTCGCGCGGAAACACTCGGAAACTAATATCTCGGTTAACAAACTAACGACGTATATACATACGTACATGGTAATACCTGTGCATTGATTATCCCTACCGGCGTAGAATTATTTACTCATCCATCGGGACTCTGCCGGGTGTTACTCCGGAGATTCGATTACGTGACACATTATTGAATAAACCAATTCGAATCCGCGTTCCCGCTTGATTGAGATTTATCTTACGCCTGTGCCCGGGGACACCCTCTCCTATTCAATTTTCAATAATGCATTTCAGATTCCGCGTACCATCGGTTCCAAATCTTGAGAAACGTTTCGATCGATTGATATTTCGACCGTTTATTTTTAAAGTGGTGCAAGTCCATTTTCTCTTGTTTCGAGAAAATTCAAGGTTAACATATCTATAAATTAAAAAATTTAGGCAAATTATATGAAGTATGGCAATGTTTCTACTGTTTTATCAATATGTAATTTGGTTACAGAAATTTGTTTTAGGCGTATTTTACTAAAATTATGTATAGTTACGGGCTGCAAATGAACTTGCACCACTTTCAAAATTAGACAATTGTAAAAGTCGTTTTATTTCAATTTTGAAAAATCAAATATCACTTAAAATATACTTCATATTGATCCAATATTGTTTTCAAATAATGACACGACATAAAATAGAAGTAGTATTTTTAATTTTAATTTTCCTTCTTGTTAGATTTCTTCCACTATACAAAATGAGACAAAATGTTACTAATAAATGTATTTTTTATAACACAGCATTAGAAAAATGTAAAAGTTTATATACTATTCCAGTGTTTCTTAAACTTCATTTTTCCGCTAATCATTTCATTCTTTAAAATTTTTACGTTGTATACTGTATTATACAACGTACAAAAATAAATATTAAATAATACGTATACGCAGACGTAGTTAAGTATACGAATCTTAAAACAGCTGTTATTTCCTATTTTTCAGTGTTTTCGATCGATTGATATTTCGACCGTTTATTTTTAAAGTGGTGCAAGTCCATTTTCTCTTGTTTCGAGAAAATTCAAGGTTAACATATCTATAAATTAAAAAATTTAGGCAAATTATATGAAGTATGGCAATGTTTCTACTGTTTTATCAATATGTAATTTGGTTACAGAAATTTGTTTTAGGCGTATTTTACTAAAATTATGTATAGTTACGGGCTGCAAATGAACTTGCACCACTTTCAAAATTAGACAATTGTAAAAGTCGTTTAAATTCAATTTTTAATAATCAAATATCACTTAAAATATACTTCGTATTGATCCAATTTTATTTTCAAATAATGAGACGACATAAAATAGAAGTAGTATTTTTAATTTTAGACGCTGATTACATTGTTAAAATTACAAGATATTGATAGTATTTACTTATGCTCTGCATGTGGCAGTGTTTCGAAATATGCATGATGCACCGGAGGTATATAAGGTAATAACTGTTTGATGTCTTTATATTTTTCATAAGTTATAGGCCTGGCATCATGGTACAAAGGCGCCAGGGCGATTTTTCAAATTTTCACGGTCTTCCATGACGTGTAGGTAATAAATTTATAGTTTTAAATTCTTTGTCCTTCATCGATGTTTTCTATAAAATAGTGTATGGTGCACTTTTGAGAAATCTCATCCAACATATTTGCAACCAATTTACCTGTTCTTCGTTAGTGTTTTTTCTTATCTGTTTTTTAATCGCATTTTTAAGATTTTTTATTGAAACGAAATTCTCTCGTTTCGTTTCATGTAAAATGAATTTATCATGTTTTCTACATTGTGTTATTACATCGTAATAACCATCGGCAACCATCTGCCAAGCCACCTACCTCTGTCAATTGGACTTACACCACTTTCATAATCGATGATTATGCAATTTCATTTACCAACCAATTTTAAATTGTACAAAACATGGGAATTTTTTAAGAAATTAAACACGGACTAGTTATAGATAAAAAATTTACATTAAATTAAGCATGAATTACGTGATATCTCATTTTTTTCAAAAATGGACTCGCACCACTTTCAAAATAAACGGTCCATTTCATGGCTGTTACTAAATTCTATATCACGAGTACTATAGGTGGTTCTTAACCCATATTTAAACGAATCACACTTGACTGACCGAGCACACGGACCTTTTCTATATGTATGTATATCAAGAATTTTTATTAATTATTCATGTTAATATGTTTGAAATTCCAGGAATCCCCCAAACTGATAAATTTTGTTTGTTTTCTATTTAATTAGAAATTTTATCCTCGTCAATTGCAGAATATCGAACGGCGGGAACTTATGAGACGACCTAACACATATCTACCTATAGTAATTAATAGACCGCGGATGTTTATGCATTTATGGGAAATTTTAATTTTCAAAAAACTACAGAATTTAGTTAATATGCAAGAATATAAGAAATACTTAAAATAAGGTACGAATTATTATATCTAGGGGTTCATACAACCCTCTACAAAGCTCCAATTTAATTAATTTTATTAATAAAAATATGAATTTGCATGAAGATCCGCAGTCTAGTAATAAAACTTTTCCATAACTGTCGTGTCTAATTTGTAACTTTGAAAAACGTTGACTTTGTATTAGAAATGTATGAGAAAGTAAAGTAAAGTGGGCTGGTGAAAAAGTTAAAATCGGCGGAGGGGGCGGGTGAAGTGGTATCGTAAACACCTCGATTCGTCAGAAATGAAACGCGACATCGTCCAGAACAAATTCCTCGCTGTCGAAACGAACGTTGTGAAAATAATCGTGTCAGCGTGGCGGAGGGCAGGAAACCGAGCGGATTTCTCTACGTTGGTGGACGGGGTTCCGCGAAAATGGCGAAGTCATTAAATCGGGAGAAGAAAGGAGGAGAAAACCGCGGGCGCACAATGGCCTCCCGGGGCTGGCAAGGTCGATATAGAGAGCTACGACGAAGGACTCATCGCCAGGAAGTCGAGGGAGCGATAACAAACCCTCTATTGAACGCCGCGGCTTCTGGGACGAGGCTCTTGGAACACCATTGACGAAATAGAAGATATCTCGGGATCCGTGAGCGGTGCTCTGTATTCCGCTGCTACCTCCAAACTCAGCCTGCGTAGATATAATCGTCTCTGGAGGAGGAGGAGGTAGCAGGGCGACGGACGGCACCACCGTTTAATGCTTTTAAGCCAACGATTTTCGACCGGGGAACCTTCGATATACGACACCTGATCAAATCTTGAATCGAACTATCCCAAAAAATTGTTTCGAACTAGATCGACGACTAAAATAACTGTTCGATCTCTCCCTTACCGTACCCTTACCGTAGTGGTTTAGAAAATCGAAAATGCGAAGAAAAATTAAATTCCAAATGGTAAATGCAGCAGTTTGTCCTAGATCTCTATATTCTTGTATGGTTTTTTCACAAAAGGCTGTATCTGATCTCCATAAAGAAGTATGGATGGGGAAGGTTGAAAAAGTAACACGCATTAGCACTTTTTTTTACATAAAAGACTTAAAATTTTAGGAAACTATAGTGTCCGTGGAACTGACACTTTATCCGAGGACTAACTAACAAGTTATGTGATAATTGCAAATGGATTCGTTTAATCGTGGATCGATGGCGTCGGATTCCCGCAAGGTATCGATTTTCCCTCGTGACAACAGATTGGATTCTTTTCCTCCTTGTTCGTATACTTCCAGTTGGGCGGGGAACAGACGTTCGCATACATTCTGACCTGAAAAATGATTTCTATCGAGGAAATTTAAGACCATAGAAGAGATAAATCTAAATAAAAATTTCGAAACCTGTACAACGAATTCAAGCTTGAAATTAATTAATGATTTCTAGGTATTTTTAAATGCAATGATTCGTATACGATCAAGAACTGACCAACAGATTGTCCACGTGGCCGTTTAGCTTCTCACAAATGATATTTGGCGCCTTGTCCTTCGCGGTTTCCGCCTAAACAGAATTTCCATAGATCGTTTAATACTCATCTACCCACGCTGCTATTTATCGTATTTTTATTTATCTAAATATTATTTGTTTACCATAGCGATGCAAAATCTAATACACTTCTCTTCCCCCTCCTCGTTGCACGTGACATTAAACTCGAAAGAACGTTCGATGATTGATTCTGATTTCCCAACCGGCATTGCGGCACACTGACACACGCCATCCATTACTGTCTCTTGCCTGGTAGAATCAATTATTGAACAAAACTATATCAACCGTGATTCGTATGAAACGTTGACTTTTTAACTGTTTTCCCGATGAAAACGGCACATTCAACTTCAAATGAAACTGGATTTATTGGAGCAATTTACTATTCAATGATACGAATAAACTTGGAATTATTCTTCCAAAATCGTTATACAAACATTACTAATTTCAATGTTATTTTTCGAACATCGTTATTCGAGTACGTATTACTGTTTAAATATCATTTTCCTAATATTATTGTAAAAATCATTAGATTAGTGTTATTAGTCGACTACAAATAAAAACAAAAATATAAAAGAATTTTTTTCTCGAAAGTGGGTAGAATTTCAGGGGTATGTGTGTTCACCAAAAATGATTGTAATTCACCCCGGCAACCAAAAATAATTTTTTAATTTAATTTGTTAATAACTTTTTAACGACGCCTCGGTCAAGAAATTGATATTCTTCATTTTGGTCTCTAGAATCTCCCATTACAATTTTTCCCTGCATATTACTGCCGTAAAAAATTATAACAGAAAGTAAAAGGATCGATAAAAGTTGTATAGTAATTGTTACACTGTGAACGGCAGAGCAACAAAGAATAGGGCGAGTTGCAAGAAGCAATCCATTTTGTACACTACACGTCTAAATGCTTGATATCGATATCGAAGTCCGTCGAGTTTCGCGACACAAACGACCAACGATCGAACAGAATTTCGCATTTATAGGTAGCGGATATCCCCACCATCGTAGATCGCGTATTCGATCGCACGGTGCAATTCCCGTGATGTCTCAAATTTTCGATCGATAATTCACGGAACGCGTCTGTAACCTGAGAAAGAAATTATGTACAGTCACATTGAAAATCGTACTGTTGCATCGTCGCTTAGGGATTTTATACAGGGTGTTCGGCCACCTCTAGCAAAAATTTTAATGAGCGATAGTAGAGGCCAAAATAAGACAAAAATCAAGAATACCAATTTGTTGATGGAAGCTTCGTTAAAAAGTTATTAACGTTTAAAGTGCCGCCCTTACTGAATTTTTTTCTCGAAAATGCGCAAGATTTCGGTGGTATGTCTATTCACCAAAAATGACTGTAATTGAACCCTACAACCGAAAATAATTTTTCCACAACGATTTGCAATTTTTTAATTTTCGCGAATAATTTCACACCTTCTCTATTTTTTTTCTCGAAAGTGGGCAGGATTTCGTGGGTATGTCTAATGACAAAAACTGATTGTAATTGACCCCCGCAACCGAAAATAATTTTTCCACAACGATTTGCAATTTTTTTTCTCCGTTGAAAAATTTAGGCACCTGATTGGATTTTCAGTAAGGAATTTTTTTCTCGAAAGTGCGTACGATTTCGGAGGTATGTGTAATGATAAAAAATGATTGTAATTGATCCCCGCAACCGAAAATAATTTTTTTAGAACGATTTGAAAAATTTTTTTTCGCCGAAAAATTTCACCACCTACTCGATTTTTTTTCTCGAAAGTAGATAGGATTTCGGAGGTATGTGTACTCACCAAAAATGATTGTAGTTGACCCCCGCAACCGAAAATAATTTTTCCAGAACGATTTGAAATTTTTGAATTTAATTGTTAATAACTTTTGTTAATAACTTACTGTCGCTCATTAAAATTTTTGCTAGAGGTGGCCGAACACCCTGTATGTCCTCGATTGTGAAACGCTAAAAGCTGATAAAACAATCATGTAACAATCGCGCGCAAATTGTATATTCATGAATGCAAACATTCAACAAATACCTATACTTTTTTATACTTTCTCTATAATCAATCTATGAAAGCCACGAACTCGCATATATTTGTGTACAAACTATTATATTATTATAACCAATTACGTATGTACAAATACAAATGTATTAGGTCGTCCCATATGTTCGTGCCGTGTTTTCTACTGCAACTTGAAGTAATATTTTAAACGTATGATGGAATTTTATGAAAAATAGTAAACCTCTTCTCGTTCAACAACTCCTTCCCCTTCTTTTGGCAAAGCCATTGTATCGTCGCTCCAAAACTTGCTGGATATTTTATTCAAATTTAGTTTAACGCTTTTCATTAAAACGTTGACATTTTCAAATTGTTTATCCATTAATAAGCCTGGAGATTGTTATATTTTATATCTTATAAGATTCGGTTTTATTATATGCTAACAGAAATATTTACGCAACCAGGCTCTACCACGATTAAGAAAATTTTGTTCCATAAGTTAGCGTGGATTCCAAACTTCGAACTTTGGCACAATATCTATTTGTTTCAAATTTCTATGAATTGTTGATGTTACTATGTTTGAAATTTCAGAAATCACCTCAACTGACAAATTTTCTTTGTTTTTTATTAGATTACAAATTTTATCCTGATCAATTTCAGAATATTGAACGGCACGAACTTATGGGACGATCTAATACAATAAATTAAACTAGTAAATACTTGTTCGTGAACCAAAACTAGTCGAAAATTTTAAATGGAACAAAAAGTAAAAATTACCCTTAGCATTTTATAATGTTGTATTGAGAAATCGATTTTATGCAACGAAGAAAGTAAAATAGAGAAAAAATTGAGCAATAGTTAAGACATAACAGCGATATCTGTACTACGCATAGTCCCGCGATTTCACGGAGGATCATGGCGACCATTACTAAAGGTGCGGCATATAAGGATTGATTGTAAATTGATAAATTTCAAGTATACACTTTATTGTCATGACAATTCATTATAATGTTATTCGCGATATCATATTTTCGTAGACATCGGTGAAATTTGGAGTCGACTTTTCGATCATCGACCATTCACTCAAGGTGAAATTACCTTCTTTCTACGTGAATTTCAGGTAAGTTATTATTCTCAACTGTTTGACAATGATGTTTAGTAAAATATGGTTGCCGAATAAGTGAGAACGAAGAATGAAAACAAGTATCATGTTACTATGTTAATTGTTCAAATAACATCTTATCACGTATAACCTACAATACTTCGTGAGATTTAAATTATATCAATGTAACTCCAGATTGAGAGGTTTAACATTCACATTCACATAAGATCTTTAGTTTTATAATTTCTTTCTTCATTGTCTCTGGAAATAAGTTTTGTAGATTATATGTTTATAGGAGAAGAGAGGCGACAGAGAAGTGGAACGTCTTTTCAAAATACTTGAATACTCTACAGAATTGAAAGAAAATGAACTTGATCGAACAGAGCAACTTGGAGATTGCCATTTACCTAGCTTAAAAGCAAACGTCGATGTTGCCCTGAGCATGTGCGAAAAAGTCCTTCAAAGGGAAAATAATTTTGATATTGTACGAATTAATTTTAATAAACTCTTTGATCTCATACAAACTCAAAATTCATGTTAATCGTTAATAGGTGTATTTCATAACTATTCTAGGATAAAGCATTGCAAGAAAACAGAGAAATAAGGAAAATAGAGTGGGAGAAGTTTGTCAATGATATGAGTGAAAAGTGTGAAAAAGTAAATCATACTTTTGAAGAAAAAGAGAATGAAATAAAAGAATTTTATGACGATCTTGAAAGAAAGTTACATATTACTCTATAAATATTTCACTGCTATATCATATCGTACATAATAATATTTTCTACTTTATAGTTAATATAACATAAAGTAATACCAATTCTATATTCAACATATAAAACTTTGCTAATAATGTTATTTTGTTAATAATAGAATATTCCTTTTTAAATACAAAAATGCCGGTCGAATCGATCCAAGATCCTTCCATAAAAATAAATCCGAATAAGAAATTAATTGAATTTGTTATAAAAAATGTTAAGAAAACAAATAACGTTCCACCTAGTATTGTTGCTTTGAAAAAGTCAGGTAGAGACAAACGAAAAGATATTTTATTAAAATTGGATGACATAAGATGGCTGAATACATTCTTGGAAGAACACAGAAAGACAAAAATGGAAAATGTTTATTTACATGAACTTTTAGAACAGTCGGATATAAAATTACCAACACCAAAAATTACGCCACGAAGCCCTGAACTGGAAGCTAGAATACAGAAACTGAAGGCACAACAAGACGCTAGAGAATATCGAGCTATGACCAAAAGCGTCGACTCTTTTAGGAGAAAACTACCAGAAGATACTATTTCTTACCAAAGTAAGATTTCTAAATTAAAGTGTAAATAATATCTTAAAAGAATTTTATATATGTTTATATTTGTTTCAGTGAAGCAAATAAATAAGCAACTCATAGCTGTTGCACAGTTTGTATTTTCCGTATTGGCTGGTTTTGCCTTTGGATTCCTAGGTGTTGAGTTGATTATTGGAAATTTAGACTTTGGATTTAGATTGTTACTAGGTATAATTTGTGCATTAATCATAGCCTTGGCTGAAATTTACTTCTTAGCTATTAAATTGAACGAGGATGATTGTGATATAGACTCGACATTGACGTCTAAAAAATTACACCAAGAATAAAATTTTATAGATCATTATTATAAAAGTGTATTCTAGCATTAATGCATTCTTTTGTAATTTCTATAAGTAATCTTAAATTGCGGTTAAATATATAAATAAGTCCTCGAAATGGTGGTATTTTTAAATGGTGAAATTAGCACAAAAGAATCGGTGCATTTTATTTTGGTTTTAGTAATAAAATTAAATTAGTAAGGAATTTTTTCTTCCTTTTCTTCTCTACTTCTTAAAAAGTATGTAATTGTCTATAATTTATTTTTATTGAATACATATAAAAATAGTGCTCGACTTCTAAAGTTATTATCCTTATCTCATCTAAAGTATTAAATACTGACAAATACTTTGAACGTTTATCTATTACCAAATGTTTTTAAAATTATATCGTTTCCAAGCAAGTTGAAGCTGTTCCTTTCATAATCGGAGCCTGCTTTATGGGAATAGAAATAAAAAATTCATGTCTGTTTTCTTATCTTTTAGTCTCATCTTCGCTATCACTTTTTCCACTAGCCTCGCTCTTGTCACTAACCAAATCACATTTACCGTTCTCCTTTGTTTCACTTTCGTGATCACTGTTCGACGAGTTCCCACCCTCTGGTTTCGAATTGTCACTGTCGGTGCAAGAATCTGAATCTGTGTCACTATCACTGTCTGAATCTGAGCTACTTTCTGAACTACTATGTCTATCCTTGGCTGCCATCATTTCTTTGAATTGTCTGACCGTTATCTTTCTAGGCATTATTTCTTTAAGGAATTCCAATGTATCGTTCGTTTGAACCACTTCAGCCAAATGTTTATAATCCAAAGAATTGCCTTTATTGCTTTGCTGATGTGCTTCTTCAGTTAAGTAATGTATAAACAATTCCTGAAAGAATTTATATCAATCGTTTTGTTTCTTCAATTTCGTTACACGTATAAAAAATGTTATTAATTCACAAAATGCACATACTCGAGCACGATGTATAATATAAGCGATAGTTCGTTATTATTGTAATTATATATTAATGAAAATAAACATTTTCAATTAACCCGCGAAACGGCAAATATGGAAACTACATAATATACAAAATAACCACACAGAGTGTCACTTAACCTCAATATACTGGTATTAATCTTACCGTAGCTTTCGTGACTAGAAACAATCCATCCTGGCCGATCGTGTCCACGTAAGGAGAACTTTTCATAATCGTTTTCACCCTTGACATCGGCAAACGTAATTCTTTTAATTTGGCCGGTGATCTTTGCGTAGTCATTTTCACTGAAAATTGATTTCTGCTAGCATCAATGGAATCAAGTATAAACCACCTCTTCTCCGAGCAAATGTATCTTTATAGATCAATTGCCGCCAATTTTTAAACTTTCTACATTGCATACGCGTTGCTTGAGAATACATTGGAAATATTTTATAGAATTATAAAAATAACAAACAAGGATGCTACTTTTGTTTATACAAAAAAGAATTGATTTCATTTAAAGTCACAAGTCAAAATTAAATGGTAAAATTTTCGTTCTTGTTAGATTTCTTTCACTATACAAAATCAGACGAAATGTTACTAATAAATGTATTTTTTTACAACACAGCATTAGAAAAATGTAAAAGTTTATATACTATTCCAGTGTTTCTTAAACTTCATTTTTCCGCTAATCATTTCATTCTTTAAAATTTTTACGTTGTTTACTGTATTATACAACGTACAAAAATAAATATTAAATAATACGTATACGTAGACGTTAAAAACAGCTGTTATTTCCTATTTTTCAGTGTTTTTGGTGAGAAGACCCCCCCCCTTACTAAGAATAAAATGTTACAAAAAACATTCTTTTCTCCTTATTTGAAATAGTTTCCGTGAAAATAATTTCTACCGCTTTATGTTCTACGACACAGTATTTGGTATTGAAACGTTATGAAATCGATAATACTGTTTCTTACATCTTGCCCTACATATTCATCCGTGAGCAACCATTGCATTTGAAAAAATTCATCAATTTTTTAATCTAATATTTTGTAAGTAGAAGATTTAAAGCGAATTCGAAACGTTTTGAAATGTGTTAAATTTACCAGTGGTGGTCGCGTATCTCAGTGACATCTTCCATCGCTGTTCATGCATCGCTGTGTCTATTTCTTTTCAATTGGCACGTTATATCCGGCTTGCAGAAATTTTTGGCGATCGGACAATTGTTGCATCAATCTGACAATCTGTGACGAGTCAAGGTATATTTAATAATATTCGATCGATAGATAATCAACGCGTACAGTGAATCGTTTTACAATATCAACGAACAACGTATTAATTGTACTTCGCTATATATCCATCGAATTAATCGATCAATACAGCACATGGCGAATTCATGTTTTTGAAGTTCCAGCATAAAATTTATTGATTGTTCGTTCAAACGAGAACAGGTCGTTGATCCAGCGGTTCGTAAATTACCCCTTTAATACATTTTTCTCGTTAATACAATATTTATTTAACTCTTACAGCTATAACCTACAAAATCGCAACTTTATTCTGTGACTTCGTAAACATCTGTTTTTTGCTTGTGATAACCTAATTTTGTTTTATTGATACGCAAATTTATTATTTTTATTATCCTCTTCCAACAAAGTGCAAGACTTAATTTCATTTTAATATTTTTGTTATCTTTGTATCTGTTGTTTAATAGAAAGATTTCTAATTTATTTATTGAATGAAACTCTCACTTAAAAATCATGTAATGAATTCTAATTATTGTTAAAGTACAATAGCTTGTATAAAACAAATACCAGCATGATTGATTTATAAATTACAGGAATACATGTGGCAGAATGTCTACTTTCCTTGGGTTCATTAAGGAGATACCTGGCATCTCGGTGGATCATTTTGAAGAAAAAAACAAAACGTTGTCTTCCGTATTCTTTCTTAGTCATTGTCACACAGATCACATGGCTGGCTTATCAAAAGAGTTTTTTACACATTTAAATATATATAACAAGTATCTCTATTGCAGTGCTATTACAAAAGCATTACTAGAAAGTAAATTTAGTTTTCAAAATTCTGTTAAAGAAATAGATATTGATACACCAACTGTTGTAGAATATGAACTAGAAAATAAAGAGAAAATGATCATTTCTGTTACCTGTATATCAGCTGGTCATTGTTTAGGGTCTGTAATGTTCTTATTTGAATTAAATAACGTGTCAGTTTTATATACTGGTGACTTCCGCATCAACTCAACAGACTTTCCAAAGTTAAAAGGTCTACATTACTATGAATCCTCCAGATTATTACCCAGAACATTTACTACAATTTACTTGGACACAACTTTCTTAGATCGTGATTTTCCATCTTTCCCAACCCGCAAAGAAAGTCTAAGTAAAATGAGCGATATCATCAAACAATGGATACATAAAGACCCAAGGAATGTTATTATTCTAGAGTGTTCTGCCACATATGGTTCTGAATTCCTCTTTGTGGAACTCTCTAAAATGTTGAATATGAAGATTCATGTAAAACCTTTTGTATATGAAAGTTACTGTCGCATTCAACAGCTATCTTATTACGTTACAAACGATCCATATAGTACTCCGATTCATGCTTGTACAAAAAAACAGTTTTCGTCGCGTTTAAAATGTAGAGAAGACGTGCTTGATGTTCATGTTATGACTATTATTCCATCTGCAATGAAATGGAAAAAAAAGGATACAAGCGTAATAGGAGAATGGGATAAAGTTAGAAGTAGAACTTTCAATGTATGTTTTTCCATGCATTCTTCTTTTAATGAACTCAAAGCATTTATTCGGTACTTTAATGCATTAGAAATTCATTCATGTGTAGTTAAGAAGGGGGAAGAAGAAACAATGAATGGTTTATTGGATGAAATAAGAAAAGAATCGGACAAACAAGGAACAGTTAATGAAACGTATAGATTGGAATTACCTGCTCATAAAAAATTAAATAAACCCCCATTTGAGTATAAATATTTTAGTAGCGACGATGATAGCACATGACACTAATTGTTAATTAGCATAATTGTTTCATAAATTGTTAATTGTTGCAATCTATTGTTACATAGCAGACCAATGTTTCTCAAATTATGGTCTGCAGAACCATGGAGATCTCTGAACATCTTTGTTGGGGTCTGCAAGCTTCTAGAAAAGAAAAAAAGCATGTTATATGGTTGATATAAAAAGTCCTCTTTGTAATATTATAATTCTGTTAAAAAATTTTTATGCTAGTAGAAAAAATATAAAAAAAGAAGCATATCCTCCCCATTAAAATTAGGTTTATCTAAATTTGAATAGAATTCAAATTTTTAAATGTGAAGGTTTCATTCGACGAGAAAATATCAGAAGGCGATATAACGCGATTATACTGTATTAGATAACTTTATACGTTATTATATAGCAATCATATATATTTTATAAATATTTAACAAAAAAATTGTATTTCGAATAAATACAAATGATCTGAAACTTTCTAATATTTTATTTTCCATGCTCAAATATTGAATATTATATAATTCGTTTTTTTATGCATGCTGTGTTCTTAAATTTAAATATTTCCAAATTACGAATATCTCAGTTTTATAGTTTAGTACAATTGTAATAAATTTAAGATCAAATTTCGTGTTACAGAAATTTGCTTGCATCTTCATTCATTAAATAAATCTCTTGAAACATGGAAAAGTCAGCATTAGCGCAAGAGAAGGTATGGTTCGACAAGCCATCCTATGACAAAGCAGAACGACTGTATTTTGAAAGAATGGCCAAGGTAAGTATTTTTATTGCTAAATTACATATTAATGTTATTGAATTTATAAAGGTAATTGCCAACAAGGGTAGGATACATGTTTCTAAACATACAAAGCATTAAATAAAAAAAAACATTTGTTTTTTTTTTTTTTTTTTTTTATTCATTTTCGTTATAATAACACTAGAATAGAAATTTAATGAACATTACAGAACCAAAAAGTATGTTTACAAACAGAGAACTTTAAACCTCAGTCCCAACATCCATGGCCAATGTACGCCTTTTTGTTATGCCTTGTGTTTTTTTCTGTACTAACTAAAAATTAACATTTTCTAACACACTTCAGGGAATATCTGGTGATAGGGAACACCTTACCTGCTTGTAACTTCAGAAAGTGCTGGGAATTTTATTATTTATTTACTTAATTCCCTTCCTAGTTATGTACTTAAATAAATTATATATGTATTGCATTTCTTTTCTAATACAAAACTTTTGTGACAAACATGTTATTAGTAACAATAAAGTAAGAACATACAACTTGCAATGCAATTTTGAATTTATTTGTTTAGTTATTTTATGGTTATACACAACAAATAGTTTTATTTATTTAATAATATTCGATGAGTTGAAGGATTGCATGAAATTTTTATTGAAAGTATTTGTGCAGTTGTTTTTGTTGCAATGATAAAAAATTGTACTCAGCATGTAACAAAAACATGCTTTATTTAGTTTGTATTCTATACATTAATTGCAAGATGTAAATTTCCACTTGCACAGCTTGAAACATGTTTCAAGGTGGTGTCACATAAAATTATGGAATGCTGTTCGCTTAAATCTGAAATTTCTATGAGTAATAACTGCCAAGATATTTTGAACAGTAACTCTTTAACTAAAACAAAACCTAAAAAATTCAAAGATAATAAATTATTGATTTCTGAAAATGATCAAAATGATATCCCCAAACATGCTAAAAATCAATCGAAGGTCTCAAAGACAAATAAAGATGAAAATGAGTACAATATGCAAAAGAAAGAAAATGTAGAGGAAAATCAAACATCTGATAATGTCAAAAATGATATAAAAGAAAAAGAAACTAATCCATCTAATGATGCGTCTAAGAATTATAATACAAAAGAAATAAAAGAAAAAAAAAACAAGGCTGATACACGGCAGAGAAATAGAGGAAAAGGGAAAAATGACACTAAGGAAATAAAAGAAAATATTACACCGCTAATAAGGATTAAACAGCAATTGTCTACTCAGGTACATATTATTCTGAATATGTTACTTAATGATTTGTGTGCAAAAATGCAATATTTATCAAATTTTATTTAGTTCATCGTAATAAGCATTTCATTACCTAGGTCAGAGCTTTCTAAACTTTTTACAGAAGAAATTCGTATTATTTCATATTAAAATATATTAAATCAAATTTTGCAATAGATTCTTTCCAAATAATTTGTTACATTTAACAAATTAAGGAGTAAATTAATTGAAATTAAGAAAAACAATTTAAATTTGAATTAATGAAAATGAATTCACACAACATAAATTTGTTGTCTATAAATATCAGGAGGATCTTTTAAAAAGTTTGGAAACCACTGGTCTGGTTCATTGTAAAAATCTGCTTATTATATTTAAAAATTAATTAAACATAATATTATTTCCATCTTTTTTTTTTGTATCATATTAGCTACAACCTGTGATTACTATATTGTTGAAATACTTTCAAATTTATATTGTTGTTTGATTTTTAGATTTAATAGCTATTGTCCATGTATAACGAAAAATAATATCTGCATAATTATCTTTCTTTAATTTAACAATATGCATGTTCTTCCTTTGTAAGAATAGGGATTGTAGTGCATGTTTTGCTTATAATTAGAAATATATTTTACTGCGGTTATTGGGTTTATTGTTAAACAATATATTTACACATAATGGTAACACATATTTATTTGCAACACTTTCTTTTGTAGTAAACACAAATGAGTACCTGTTGTTAGTATGCTGTGAAAATGTCTGTTGTGCTTATTCTTTGTTCACCTTTTGAATATTTAGAATGTCTATCTCCACCTGGTTACATTAGAACATTTACAATAATGGATTGGAAATTCCATTTAAATTGGATAGCCTTACATAAATGTTTTTAACAAGGAAATAATAATTTCCTTTTTGACATATTTCATACACAATTTAGCATGAAGGATAAGTATATATGTACTCAATTTTAATTTAGTCACTGTTTATATGTATATATCTTGGTGGAGGTATGATATTGGATTGTTTGTAACAATCAGTTTGGTCCGAGTTGACATTTAATATTGGTAGATACAGGGAAATCAACAAACTGCTAGTCCAATCTTATCTGCTGATGGAAGTTTAGCCAATGCGGTCGCCAAGGCTCGTCAACATATTAAACAATCTTTACAGTGTGTGAGTACTGCACCCTTTGCGCACCCTTATGTAACAAATTTTCAAACCTGCTTACTAATATAATATCAAATATTAATATAAAACCTATGGACATAATATTGAATTGTTTTTGTTAAAATAAACTAAAGCTAAAATACTAATGTCTCCGTTGTTTTTTTCATAGTATTTATTTAGTAGTATGATATTATTGCAATTACTTTACAGATGGACGACATTTCAACCGTTGCTGGTCCCACCACTCCAAACGATACCAAAAAAGATTACTCAGATCTTCGTAAGTATTGTACCGTTTATTAGATTTATTATTATCGACTAAATGTAATTTTATAATTTTTCGGAAAAGAGTATTACATTATTATTAATGTAACATTTTCCGTGTTATAAAATTTTAGCAACAATCGTTGAAGAATTGAATAATACTATCAATAAATTGACGGCACGTGTAAAAAATCTTGAAGATAAGTTTAATCAAAGTTCATGTCAGAACTATGATCCAGCTCCGAAAAAATCACAAGCAAAAGCTGAAGATGACGGTGTTGATTTGTTTGGTTCAGACTCAGAGGCAAGTTGGCAGAAATAGTGCAAAAGACATTCAAGCAGATAATTTCCTTACATAATATTTGAGATCATTTCTGCACGATACTTATACATTTAGTACACTTTATACGTTTTTCCAAGTAGGGTGCAAAAATGTATAAATTGGACGATATTTACGAGACATAGTACACCAGATATTCCCAGAATAACAATTATATTTTTCTATTTATTACATGAATTCAACACTACTCTACAACTATTGAAATATAAATGTTGTTATTTACGGCCTATACTGTAAATTCTTTAAATACTTAACTTGTTAGGGGGAAGATGCAGAAGCTGCAAAAATTAGGGAAGAAAGATTAGCTGCGTATGCTGCGAAAAAGTCCAAAAGTAAGTTGTATAGAAAATTTATACTTTAAATTGAATTACACTATATCTATATAATAATAATTAACAGAACCAGCTTTGATCGCCAAATCGAACATAATATTAGATGTCAAGCCGTGGGACGATGAAACGGATATGAAACTTATGGAAACCGAAGTGAGAAAAATCGAGACGGACGGTCTCTTATGGGGAGCGGGTAAGTTATAGTGTCTGACTGATTTGTTTAATTTTAGGCAAGCAAACAAAGTAATTGTTCTTTCACAGCGCAACTTGTCCCTCTTGCCTTCGGAATTCACAAACTTCAGATTTCATGTGTCGTGGAAGATGAAAAAGTTTCAGTGGACTGGCTCGCAGAAAAGATTCAGGAAATTGAGGACTTTGTACAAAGTGTAGACATTGCAGCTTTTAACAAAGTATAAAATAATAACGAAGCTTTCTTCATAGAAAATTAATGACGGTTCTAATTGCAATCAGGCATTGGTCTGTTGTGCCATTTCTTCATTCCACTAGCAATATCTACTTCGATAAACGCATTATTACATACTTCTTATATATTAAACATAATTCTTCAAAAAAAGTTCAGACATTTAGCCGTCGTATTCCAATTATAATATTCGATGTGTCAATTTATTAAATGATTTCTAAGAACTCTGATCAAGTAAATTTGTAAACTGTGCTTGAAACATGAATATATTCTATATAAAAAAAAAATGTAATGTGTAAATGTTTAAACTGTAACTAAATATATATAAAACTGTAATGCTGATGCGAAATCAAATAGATGTACATTTCACTCGACTATGATATCAAAGAAAATTTTAAGAAAATAGTGATATTGCAAGTAAATAATGCCAATTACTAGTACCATTTTTAATTGTTTGTTTCCGAGTATTGTTGCTACGAATAAAAATTACAAATAAAAATTCTCAGAACGGTTATAATTTTCCTTGAAAACTTTTCCTACGTGACTGGTGGTGTTATAAAATGACGTATTTTTTATTCAATTGTCTTTCAATACCATATATTTTAGGCACCCTGTTGTGGGATTATGCTGACTTGATGCACGTGGTTCGTTCCACGTATGATGCGCGTGCGTTCGTAGGCCCACCCCTACGACCACGGATATTAATATTTGAAATGACTGAACGCGTGTATATAACAACAACAACAATAACAAGTATTCTTTACTCACGCTAGGCGTACAAGTCTTGGTTTAACAACAGGAGTTTTTACTCTGGATCTTTTGGAGGTGCTTCTTCGTGCAGTTCTTACAAAGCAGTGGTTTGTTTGAGCGTCCTTGCATTTTGGGGAGGACGCGCTTTCGCCCTGCTGCGCTGCGCGCGCAGCCTTACGGCGGATTCGCATTTAACGGGAACTGCTCCCCTATATTCTTGTGCGGACGAGACCATAAGTCTCGACCCCACACTGTAAATCACAGTGCTGCTCCCTGGTAGCATAAACTCTGCAAATGTGTTTTTGGTTATCTTGACGTTTGGAGAAAAGGTGTTGTTTTCGTTTAAAGAAATTTGTTTTGCGGTTATATTTTCACATTAAGAAAGAAAAAAACCTTTGTGTTTCAAACATGACTATGGCTATGCTGCAACGAAGAGCTAACGTAAGTCTATAGATTAATATGTAACGTTTTCTTTACAGTAAGTTGTCTACATAACCTCTCTTATATTTCAAAATGTTTTTCTTTGTAGGTGAGGTTACCTCCCGAAGTAAATAGAGTGTTATATATAAGAAATTTGCCCTATAAAATTACAGCTGAAGAAATGTATGATATTTTTGGCAAATACGGAGCCATTAGACAAATCAGGGTGTAAGTATTTATGACCAGTCTCTTTATTTAAATAAAGATTTATGTGCTTTTGTTTTTTTAATCTTTAAATTTTAGTAATTTCTTGTATAAAATGTACTTGACGTCATCGTTTATTGATCGATATGGAATAGATTTTTCTTTATTTTTTTTACATAGAATTATCCCTTGGTTGGTATATCATGATTTTTCACCCACAGTGATAAATATAATATAACTTGTTGTTATCCGTCTTGCATTAAGTTAAATGAAAATTCTATAATAATTAATATAAAAAATACTGGAGAATAAATTATAGATTATTTTTTCCACCTATACTCATCTAAGATGGATGCTATAAAAGCTGCTTATGCCCGCAGTATATAGATCGCAGAGTATATCTACATTAAAATATTTCATCTTTTAAGGGGTAACACTGCTGAAACTAGAGGGACAGCTTTTGTTGTTTACGAAGATATATTCGATGCAAAGAATGCATGCGATCATTTAAGCGGTTTCAATGTTTGCAACCGGTACCTGGTAGTTTTATACTATCAAAGCAATAAGGCATTCAAACGGGTTGATGTTGATAAAAAGATGGAGGAAATAGATAAATTAAAAACAAAGTATAATCTGAACGAGGATAAGAAATAGCTACGTAATGCTTTTAAATTAAACTAGGGTTAAGTTTAAATTTATGTAATTTCCTAATTAATAGTTTAGGAATTTTTGAGGCTGGAATAGTTTTCGTAAAATCCCATCGTTGTAATTCTCTTTCCGAATCGAACAATTGTTTTACAATGATTCTCGCAGGTTCCAGAGCAATCTAAATATGTATGCAACATTTTATGTATATGTAAATAAGGTGCAGCCAGTTTGTGTATATAATTTTTAATAAAGTGGATTTTTATAGGTTCCTAGACGGATGCACTTTTTTTTGCTCAGGATGAATGATAAAATATAAAAATTAACGAGTGTAGATATTTAGTAGTACAGACAACTGAATAAATAAACTGTTTCGGTATCGTTAAAAACGAGTAAGGAATTCTTTATTTGTATAGGGTATAAAGGAATAAGTATTGTATATACTTTTGTTTATCAAAATTGCAGTTTAGGCGAGAAATATTATTATATAAAGTCTTTTCCTATACCGTTGTAAAATTCTTTTGCACTTTTTCGATGTATTTAATCGAAAACAGTACAAGTGTTTATATGAAAATCGTGTTTTTAAACAGTTGTAGTTTTAATGAACTTTCGGTTACTCATGTGATATGGAGGTTCAATGGCCCGCGGTAAGCAACGAGAGAGTATTTTCGTATGGAATACGATCGGTTCTTGTCCCCTCCCGAAAAGATATAAAAACCGGGATGAAAAAATGTCGGCACATTAAAAGGCGGTAATTAATACAACTTTCACAGTCGGTTGTGGAGTGGCATTCCACCGCTTCCACGAACCTCAGATGATAGCCACGACTCCGATCAAAACTCTTCGCTAAAATACTTTAATACGGAGTACCAATGCTATTAATATTATATCCATATATTTCTTAATTATCGCATTTTTATTTTTTCTATAGTCTGGTTATAGTATACTGATGCTACTTTCGAGAAACGGGATAGGGGATAAATGATAAAAATTATGCGTATTTTTAGTCCTCGTTAGATAGAGTATGCATGTTAATTGAAAATTACTTTGAAAAGAAAAATCTAATTTTCAAATATCAATAGGAAGAAAAGTTTACTTTGTTACTTGTAAGATAGAACGAGTGTCGTCGGATCGGTAATTTCTCTTGCGATACCATAAAATTCGTAACAACCGATCGAAAATTTTCGAGGTAAAAGACATTTTATAGATCGTTGTGTATAAAAGGGCGAGAAGAATGCCGTGTTTGCGTGGAAAGGCGTGTGATCTCCGTGAAGGCATTTAAATCGAGGAAAAGATATGCTCGAATGGAGTATACGATGCGCGCGTGCACGCGCGTAATTCAATCGGTCGACTCATCTCGTCGGCGCTGGTGTTTTGTAACGCGAGCCCCGAGACAGGCTACGGTTTTACTTGTCGGAACACTCGATAGTGGGATGCTGCTGGAAACGCGCGCGTATGCACACAACGATGCACGCGTGCGCGCAAGCACGCGCGTACACACACTATCGCGTTGCCAGCCGGCTAGCCGGTAGAAACATTCGATTTCAGTCGAAAGCGAAAACCCGCTTAGCCAGCTTGTTTGGTCGCGTTGTCACACGTTGCGACCCGTTGTCGTTTAGAAAAACACGCGGTATTCTCTTATAGGTGTTCCCCCGTTTATTCGTCGATCTCGACGCGTCGTAGTTCGCATAATCGAGACGCCCGAGGTATCCACCTGGGCCCTCAAACGGTCAAATGTCGTTCGACTGTTGCGGTAGCGACAAAGTCGCCGGCGAGACGTTCGCAGACGTCCTTGAAAACGTGTCGCACGTACCTCGTGCAGTCTACGACAGTTTTCTCCACGGCGTCGGGCATTTCGTGTACGGTCGGCCGTGGTTCTTCCTCGTCGTTACTGCTCTCCTATTAACAGGCTTATTAGTCGCGGGCCGTGTTCACGTTACGCCGCCTAGACGCACCAGACTTGAAGAGTAGCGCGATCTTCCGGTGCGAGTGGAAGACTATTTTTGTTATGCTGTTTCCTTGCCGGTGTAAATAAGTGCGGGTACCGCGGTGAAAGCATCGGTTCTCATTCGATCAACGAAATCACTGCTAACCATGTAGGATCATTCTGTCCAAGAGTGGAAACCCTTACTTACGCGGTTCGAGCTCCTTCTAAGCGCCTACAAACGACAACCAGCCTGCAAGAAAAGCTGTTTCCCTCGAAAGAATAGTTTCGAACTGAACAGATTTAGGAGCCTCTCTGTATCGTTGACAACCGGTGGTGTTTAGAACCCGTTTAAAATTGTGTAGCTATCCATTAAATGGTTGACAGTGACGGTTATCGGTTGATAGAAACACAGAAAGAAACAAGTGCGATTCCAAACGATCGGACGTTGTGTCGCGACGTGGGAGTAGCTGTCGGCTCGTATCGCGATTCTCGACGCAATGTAAACAGTCCGCGGGGAATGGCGTCGATTTGACGGGAATCTCGCGTCGTCGGGCGGTGCATCTGGGCGTTAGCCCCGTCTAGGTCGATGTGATTCGATTTATCGTGCCCGATTGGTCGATGTTATCGTACTTTGTCCGGTTGTTAACGTTGAGAGTGCAACACCGGGCAACTATGGTGTGTCGTCTGCTAATGTCGCCCGAGAGAAACAACGGCGTCGCGTGGAGGAGGAATGAATGAACGGGAAGAGGACGATCGCGGTGTGTTGGGAGGGGATGCGACGACCGTCGTGTTGTTGTGACGGCCTGCTGCCTGCTTGCCGATTTGTATCGAGGTGAGTGAGCATACGTGTAATATATGTACATGTAACGTGCATCTGCATGCAGCTTTATTTACGCGATCGCTGTCGCTCACATACATCGACGTTATTTATGCGTGGTCGTGTCCGTTCACGCGACTCGTTCTACACACGTGAGTCGATGCTCGCGCTGTTTGATCTCGAACACCGCGATGCATCGACACCATGATGGAATTTTAATTATCGAATCAAACCGCTGCCAAGCACTCGTACTTAACCAAACTTTCAGCCGTGGATTTTGTTACTTGTTTATCGCGTCGATACTGTCGCTCGCTCGAGGTATGTATCGCTTATCGATAGTTACAAATTTCAACGATTTTCTAATCGAAATACATCGAGTATACAGGCTGCTCGACCACCCCTGGGAAAAATTTTAATTATTTATACATAAAATAAAAATAGGGTTTATTTGGCTGATTTTACGTGCAATTTCAATGGGTGACGATCCGGTCGCAGTTTTTTGAAAGTGTACAAAAGTGAGCAGGTGTCAGGTACTCGGAACGAGTGTGTTTGCTGTCTGGATAAATACGTAGTCGCTCGACCAGCTTTTCATTTGCGTCTCTTTACGTTAATACCGTAGGAACTTTGTTCTCGAAGCAACGAGACAGAACCACGGATTTTTTGTCATTGCTTTTTTGCACTCGAAGACTACATATATGTATATTGCAGAAATTTAAGCCGTATGTAACTGTTTTAAAACTAAATATTGTTCAATAATGTATTTGCTATGTTACAGTATTCCCAATGACAGTTAGCGTTAATTAAAAGTTTACAAGAAATAAAATAGAAACTGTAAGTTTTAAGCGATCTTCGCTATTACGTATACATATGTATGTATTGCGCGTTTAGTTAGCGACTAAGGAGGGGCTTTAGGAATTAAATGCAACCTTTTTGCACACGTGTCAGGCTGACCCTTTGCACGTCGAAGCGTGTCGTGAAAACAAACACTGCATTCTTCGCCAGGCCGCGTGTGTTTCCTTTTACGAATCGTCTGCTTCTTGGGGGATTTACTGAAAATGGTATAAGGGTGCTCGACCACCCCTGGGAAGAATTTTAATGGGGAGATTCTAGGGGCCAAAATAAGACGAAAATCAAGAATATCAATTTCTTCGCTGAGGCTTCGTTGAAAAATTATTAACGTTTAAAGTTCTGGCTGTGGAACAGCAATCTGCATATATGTAACTGCAGACGATAGTGGTTCTCACAAGGAACCATCGCGAACGGTCCGGCTTCGATTTTGATGAAACTTTGTACACTTATAAAGCAGTCAAAAATAATCGACACGTATTTTTTTTTAGCTGCGGTAACTCGAGTTTAAGGGGTGAAACCACCCCTTGAAGTTTTGGCTCGAAACGACTATCTCGAAAACGGAAAGACATACAAAAAAATTGTTAATGGGCGAGGTTGATGGTTTCTTATGTACAATAACATGGTGTTAAAAAATTTAAAAAAATACAATTTGTTTATAACAAAAAAAAATTTATTAACTTAATTTTTCATTTTATTGAAATTTTCATAATGACAAAAAATGACGAGCATTTTATTCCAAATCCATTGATATGCGATTTTTTAAAATTGCCTCCTACAGTTTTGCAGATTTTGATGATTTACATCTTGCGCGCACATCCATTATGGTAGTAGCCGTTCTAACTTTGATTTTAATGAAGCACTGTAGGCTTGCACTACTTCTAGAGGACAAAATCGGGAAAAATACAAGAATACCAATTTGTTGATGGAGGCTTCGTTAAGAAATTATTAACGTTTAAAGTTCCGCCCGTACTGAATTTTTTTCTCCGAAATGCCCAAGATTTCGGGGGAATGTGTAATGACCAAAAATGATTGTAATCGACCCCTGCAACCGAAAATAATTTTTTCAGAATGGTTTGAAATTTTTTAATTTTGTTGAAAAATTTCACACATTCTCGAATTTTTTTCTCAAAAGTGCGTAGGATTTCCGGGGTATATATATTGACCAAAAATGATTGAAATTGACTCCCGCAACTGAAAATAATTTTTTTAGAACGATTTGAAATTTTTTTTGTCGATTTTTCTTAAAAATTCGTTTTTCATTTTTAATAATTTTGTTTGACGCCCTACAAAAAAGTTGGCCAATACTTTTTTGTAGGTACCTATGAGCTCTACTCAAGAAAAAAGTTTCATTGAAATATATTCACTATTGTAGGAATTATGGCTGTTTGAAGATTGGACCATTTTTATGGGGTTTTTCTCATTTTGCGGGGTCAAGGATCAACTTTTTGCATATTTTTGTAATTTCTACGTATTATTGATTAAAATACGCGTCGTTTGCATTTTTGAAAATTAAAATCCTTCAATCCGTTCAGAAGTTATGACATTTTAAAGATCCGCATGAAATTTTCGGACAACATTTCTGGCCATAAATTACATTTTCGATTAGGAATTTTTTTCTCGAAAGTGCGTAGGATTTCGTGGGTATATGTATTGACCAAAAATGATTGTAATTGGCCCCCGCAACCGAAAATAATTTTTTCCTGGAGGATTTGAAATTTTTTAATTTAATT